GGGTCGGGGAACGCCCAGTCGACGGGGTCAAGCAGTTATGTGCAAAAGAAAATACATTTGGAATGCGCGGTTGGACTTTAAATGCTTGAGAAATAGTTGCGCTAACCCCTAACCATAAACCTTAACTATAACTCCTCATCTTAAACCCTTGCTTATGGCCCTAACTCCTAACCGTAACACCTAACACTTACCCCTAATCCATAAACTTACCATGACCCCTAACCATAGCCTCTAACCATAGCTCCTAACCCTAACCCTAACCATATTTCCTAACCCCTAACCATTACCCCTAACTTTTAGCCTCTACCCTAACAGTATCGTTTCCTTCAGGTGGGGCCACCAAAGCACATCTCACCGAGAGGACTAAATATGCAAGACTGTAATATTAATAACGGTCGGTTTGAAAGGAAATTCTTCCCGGCCTCCTGAAAAAAAAAACATACTCCTTAAAATGGACTACTTAAACTTACTTTCGTCAGACAGAAATCTTCTGGATGGTCTTCTCCAAACCCATTAAGTCAGCGAGGACACCGTTAATTCCCTGGTCGAAGAGCGTGAGCAGTCACGTGATGCCACGCAAGTCGGTAGGCCTTCAGGTCGCCACAGAAGGAAAATGATGGACGAGTAACATAGGTGGCGGTAGCGACCTCGGCTTCAAGTTCGCTTTTAATGGCCAGAGGGATTGCAAACTCCGAGAGCTGAGCCGGGACCGATGAAAAACAGTGAATATCTGAGAAATGAGTCGATGGACAAATTCTTATATGAACAAAACAAACTCACTTAAGGTCAGTGAAAGTTGGTTCATTGCGGGTTGAGAAAATTCATTTATTGGCGCACGAAATCTGGAATCAGTACTGATATGACAATCATTCCTGAGAACTTGGAGTAGATCAGTATATTCCTTTACTTTATTACGAAATTGAAAAGCAGCAATTTCTAAACGGGAGTATCTTCCAGAAAGCAGACAGGGAAAGCTGGAGGACCCACTGACGAGCCGAACCCCTCGCAGTTGTGTCATGCAGCGGCAGAATATCGGCAAAACACGCATGTATGGGCTTTTGGCTACCACCTGTGCTATTAATATGGAACCATCTTACCCTAATTCAATAAAGTTTCCTCATTGGTCTTTGATGCCCTTATAAATTTAGGCTTATTTCACAGGAAAAATGCAAAAACATGTTTGTTTTTTTCATTCGCTTCGCAGAACAGCATGTCTCCTTTAAGTCCTATACTCGAAGAAAAAGTAATTTTTGCCTTTAAAAATTACTAACTGTGAGATTTCACAAGATCGTGAGATGTTAATTCACAGAACCTCGTATCTCTACATTTGTCAATATTGCTTGTAAAATATACAACACGGTTCAGATCCGATGCGACATTTTATGAACCCCACACTACGTCTTCTAAGTAACATATAGATCTGTGTGATTGCCTTGCATGGAAAATGTGCGACCTATAGCGTGGAAACAATGAACGCAACTGTTACAAGTGATCGGGTTCAACATACTTCGGGAATTTTAAAAGTCCCCTAATGCCAAGTATAGCCATTCTATAAGTATGTAATTTGAGGAAGATATTGGTTGCTACCATGTGAGGAAATGCAATGCCGGCATTTGCCGGGCTACGTTCACGTCACGAAGCGAGATCGACAGGACGTGTTGGTAACTAAGGCGATCTGCGACGGTGATGACTGGACCGATCACCACCTCTTAATGCCCAATGTCAGGCTCCGACTGCGACCATGCAGGAGACCACAAGGTAAGCAATTAGCTTGTTGACTTTTCCTGCTCGTTGTCTGCATTTCAGCAGTTATTTGGACCAGCGGGTGGAGGAACTGCCGTTCCCAGATTAAAACGCCACCGACAAAGACATCAGTCAACGGCTCGCTGAAAATCACTGGAAGCAAAACGCCTACATGGACCATCGGACCGTCGCGAGCAAGACGGCCTTCTTTGTGCAGTACAGACTGAGGTAGATGCGGGACGCCTGGAAGTCCAGGGATATGCTGACCGTAATGAATTCCTTAACTTCTTCGAAACTCTCATGGTGATTTACGACTTCAAACGAAGGCAGCCACGCTAATTCACAGCTCTGATGATAGGTCGCTTCTTATGGAGAAATCACAGACACTGAAGCGCTGGGCCAAGCCCTTTAGAAGCGTGCTCAACCATCCCTTTACAACCTCCGACGACGCTATCGGCCGACTTCCGCAAATGGAAATGAAAAATGACCTGAATCTGTCGCCTTCTCGCCCAGAAACCATCCGCGCCGTTCACCAAATGTCCAGCGGGAAAACATCGGGGTCTGGAAGGATTCCGGCCAAAGTCTACCAGTAGGGCGGTCCCCAGTTTATGGATAAGTTCACAAAGCGTCATGGACAAGTTCCTCAGAACTTCAAGGACGCAACGATCGCCCATCTCTAAACATAGAAAGGAAACCGATACTTTGTGACAATAACAGAGAAATCTGGCTGCTCAACATCACCAGAGAGATCTTCATTCGCAGCCTTCAAAAAGGACGTCTGCCGGAAAAGTCTTGGTTGATTCCGTTGTCACCGCAAAACTACAGACACGATCTTCGGGGCTTCCATTCTGCAAAAGGAATGCTACGCAGTGCAGGGCCACCTAAACGCCAACTTTGTGGACTTCACGGAAAGCATTGACACAGGAAATTGCAATGGACTGTGGAAAATCATGCAGAAACTCGGTTGTTTTAAACGATTTACATGCACGGTACGTCAACTCTACAGCGGCATGATAGTGCGCGTCACGGAGAATAGAACCTTATCTGAACCACTTGCATTAACTAGGGGAGTCAAGCATGACTGCGTACTCGTCTCTTCCCTCTTCAACCTCATGTTTTCTGCCATTCTGATGGACGCCTACCGTGATGAGCGCCCCAGTGTCTGCATTGCCTATAGGACCGACAGAAAACTTCTAAACAGCTGGGGCATGCAGTCCACAGCGCCTCTCTCCACGACCTGCTATTCGCGCATGATTTCGCACTCAACACTACGACATGCAACGGAGTATGCAGCCCATCGTCGCCGGGTACGCCACCTTCGGACTGAACACCAGTAAGGACAAAACGGCGGTCATGCATCGACCACCATCTGGCGATTCATACAGTCTCCCTCGCACCCACATCAACAGTGCTGAACCGCAGACCATGGACAGCTTCACCAGCTATGTCAGGAAGCTGCACCCGCAGAATACTGAAGCTGAGATGGGAGGACAGGATCCCGGACGCAGAAATCCTCAACATCCACGCTATTCCGAGGCAACTGCAACGGCAACGGAGCGGCCATCTGGTGAGAATGGACAATGATCAGCAACCAAAACATGTCCTAAACGGAGATATCGCCGCAGGTGCTTACTGGCCTGGGGGAATTTGGAGAATTCTCTGAAGCGATCGCTTGCCAATCTAAAGGTCTGGGAGGACTGCACCCAGGACAGGCCGACAGGGCGAAGAGAAGTCAAAAAACCGGCACGGCTATCTATGAATCAAATAGGATCAAGGGGCTAAAGAGAAGCTTGCAAGTCTCCGGTGTCTCCGATTCGTAACGTCGCCAATAAATCCCACCAAACAGGCCCGGGCTGTCAACAAAAATTTCGCGCACAGATCGAACGCTTTGGACACCTTCGGACCTAATGCATAAACCCCTGGACAAATGCAACTGCCGCCTCCACGACCGCAAACCACCACGTGAACCAGGACTACGAAAACCACTCTTGCCACCGTTGCTCCAAATCCCCGTGCCCCACCGTCGTCGATCACTGCCACCTTCATCATCTCTCCCTCACTCACCACGGCGATGAACACAGCCACCCCTATCAACCCCGCTACCAAATCAAAACGCTCCCGACGTCCTGTTAAACACTTCGCTTTCACCACCACCGCCACCACCCCCATCTCCAGTGATGTGGAGGTGGAGGTGTATATTCCCGATCGAAACCGACAGGACAGCGGGCTCGTGGCACAGTGGTCAGAGGCGTGAACTCTTATCTCACATGTTGAAATTTCGAGCCTCGGGTTTTGCACACTACGAGGTTGCGTATGGCTGGCTGACGACGGCTAATAATTCAGAAGTGGACATTCTAGTCTCCCTTGTTTTTGTCGGTAATACGCCTTCTGCCTATATCATACGCCGCTGTGCGGCTGCTGGTTGGTTTCGAGAGAGAGCCGTAAGACACAACGGAACGAGTGAGTCCCGTAAGAACGATCGGTCAGCGTCCCCTACAGATATGGACTCGATCCCAACTTGACTTAATTGCTATCGCACATTTACCTCACATATCGACTCGGCAAACTACTTGTGGATCCGTTACACCGTTCAACCGTTCGCACTCCTCTCGCACATTTTCTCGTCGCAGGGGCCTATTCGATTACTTGCACAGCCAGGAAATGGGAACTAACCGCAATATCGATACCCCAAACACACACGGCAAGGCTCCATATCCGGCATTAATAACTCCTCATCTACGACCTGACTACAGCTAATAGCCTCACCAACCGGTTCTACAGCCCGGAACACGTCACACCTTCATTGCTACCGCAGATGTACATCATGCATCGGCTAGGCTGGTCATTTTAGAATCCATCATTGCTGAGGCAACTGCAACTGCAATGGAGCGGCCATCTGGTGAGAATGGACAATGATCAGCAACCAAAACATGTCCACAATGGAGATATCGCCGCAGATGCTCGCTGGCCTGGAGGACTGTGAAGAATCTACTGAAGTGATTGCTTGTCAATCTAAAGGTCTGGGAGGACTGCACCCAAAACAGGCCGACAGGGCAAGGAGAAGTAAAAACCGGCACGGCTATCTACGAATCAAATAGGATCAAGGGGCTAAAGAGAAGCTTGCAAGTCTCAGGTGTCTCCCATTCACAAGTTCGCAAATAAATCCCATCCAACAGGCCCGGGCTGTCAACAAATATTTCGCGCACTGATCGAGCTCTTCGGACACCTTCGGACCCAATGCATCAAGCCCTGGACAAATGCAACTGCCGCCTCCACGACACCCAAACACCAAGTCAACCACCACCACGACGACGACCATTCTTATCACCGTTGCTCCGAATCCCCCTACCCCACCGTCGTCGATCACTGCCACCTTCATCATCTCTCCCTCAGTCACCACGGCGATGAACCCAGCCACCCCTATCACTCCCGCTACCAATCAAAACGCTCCTGACGTCCCGTCAAACATCAACGCTTTCACCATCACCACCCCTATCTCCAGTGATTTGGACTCGGTCACAACCTGACTTCATTGATGCGGAGCTTTTAACTCACAAATCGGCTCGGCAGATCATTTGCGGATCCGTTGCACTGTGACCGATGCACCAGTGTCTCCACCGCTCGCATCCCTCTCGCACATTTACACGTTGCAGGGGCCTACTCGCACAACCAGGAAATGGGAGCTTACCGAAAAATCGATGCCCCAAACACGCCCGGCGAGGCTCCATACCTGGCATCAACAGATCCTCATCTACGACATGACTACAGCTAATAGCCTGATCAACCCAGCCGACTCGACAGCCCGGAACACGTCATACCTTCACTGCTACCGCAGATATACATCACGCATCGGCTTGGCCGGTCATTTTATAATCCATCAAAGAGAGACTAACGAACCAATGTCTGGAGCGCAAACGTACGGCCACTACGCCCGCCTCAACTGCCCATACTGCCAACGCACCTTCTCCAACCACATGGGCCTAGTAGGTCGCATGCGCCCTCTCAATAACTTACGGTAACTCACTGCAGACACAACCACGTCAACAAATTCCCTGCGTCCACACTCCTCCAAAATGCCACCTCGGTTGCACGTCTCGCGTAAGCGAGAAGTGTGCTTTCCGGCTTATTTTTTCGTGTGGCTCCTCTGCTAAATTTGAAATTCCAACTTACTATCCCCCTCGTTTTGGGGGCCAGATCATGCACGTACACGCTCAGACGAGATCTCCAGCTCTGTCAACCACCGCGCCCCATTTCCCGCACCAGATGACTGACCAGCTCGGAAAGTGGCAGGGCCCTAGGAGAGGAAATCGAGTGTGTCGATGACTCAGCGTATTTTTCTTACTATAAACAATCTGACGCGCTTACAGCTATCCTCGTGCACTAAAAGCCGTCGCTTGGAAGTTTGCCAACTGACGGGATAACTCGTATCTCGCAGCCAGTCCAGAGCGTTTGTGCGAAGGGGCCGACGGCTGGAC